TACAACTTAAAAATGTAATTGATCAATTGCAAGTAATTTGTTTTTTTGGGAAGTGAAAACGAGTCTTAAGTCTTAAGAAAAAAGATAGAAATTAACTTTTGTTAAACCGCCACTCTTTAGAAACTTATTTTCTAATCCGAATACAACCAATTAGGCCAGTCAATATTCACAAGAAATCAATAAAACATTATGTATCTGATTTCTTAGTATGTTCATTGACTAATACCCCCCCCCCATATTAGTCAATGGTATGTTGTTTGAGCCCATCAGAGTAGTGTATATACCCAGGTGTATACCCAAGTTTGCAACTCTCTAAAAGTTGTGGGAAAAGTGCAGCACACGAAAAACCGTGAAATTGTCACACTTTTTTCAGTGTTTGCTCTATATCCCCTAAACTATGCATTTTTCAACGAAAGCCACTCTCGCACTATATACGTTTTTGAAGAACATTAAATATGTGACAATTTAGGCCAACCGGTCAATTAGTTACCAAATTACGGCATTTTGAAAATAGGCTATTTCTTCCAAACAGTGAAAACTTTAGTTTTAGACCTTCTTTATTGCGGTTAAACCATTGATCGTTATTAGCTTTTGGTTGTGGTAATGAAAAAGAAGGCATTTAAAAAATGGTGAACTATATTTTAACATAAACACAAGTCATCAAAATTACAGTAATCAATCAATCCAATTAAATATAAACACATACTCAAAATCGTCGCCTTGTTTTTAATTTTAAGGGCAGCGTTCTGACATTTTTCGCCAGAACACACGTCACAGAACATTTGAGCCCTTATTTCAGGCAATTGTAGCCACATCTGCATCCCTCCTTGCATTTGCAAGAAAGGAGTTTTAAGAGTGGGGGGGAGTTGCCTGAGTCGGCGGCCTGTTTCTGTACATCATTTGAATATTAATATTACTCTTGCGCCCGTTTTATCAATATTACTAGGTTTATTTTTGACGTTATATTAACCTTTTTAAAACATGGACACCTTGCGGAAATTAAATTAACGAATCGAAATGGTAATCAAATGGGCCTTAAAAAAATGCAAAAATGAATTCGCAAGCATATCCGTACTTACACATAAGCGAGCACATAAGTAAAAGCTATGAACAATAAAACAAAGGTACAACTTAATTTCGCTCGCATTTTCTAAATCTACATGAAAATCTACCTGGTTTTGGCACCTATACCCAGCATCAAAGCTTTTCAAAATATTCAAGATTTTTAAAAATTGTTGACGTTTAACGGCTGCTCTTTTGAGCCATCTTACCTAAGACTCCGTTGACTTGAATTTCAAAAGTCTTCCAAAATCAACAATACTGATTTGATGCTACATGCGAATGATTTAGATTTTGAGCGCCATTCTACAGGGCGTCTTAAAACTAAGGGTTAATTTTAATACAAATTTATTAAAATAAATTTTGCAAACAGATTTTTGCGAGATTTTTGTTCAATCCTCTATAAAAAAAGATTGAAATCGATATAACCTTTTTTCTTTGCAATTCAGTGTAGAAGCATCAAATACAACTTGGCTAAAGGGAAAACCGAGGGGAAAACATTGTTTAAAACAAAACAGACAACGTTCAATGCGCCAGCCTGTATATGTAAGGAATTGAGTTTACTCACGCACGGCGATTTCTCTCTCGATTTCTTTAATTGTGCGAGGCACAAATTCATTTCAACACGTGACAATCGGTAGCTAAGCTATTACGGTACATTTTAAAGAACTAATCCATTATATTCCTTATACATTTTTGAACAACCTCGTTATTGTCCGATATTGAAGTTATCGTAAACAACACGGGATTACTTTCCACTTTCTCTCGCCCTCTCAAACAATTACGCGATTAGATAATCGTTAGCTTCATTCGACCGTTAAAAACATTGGGACCACTTCCAGGACCACTTGGTAATTACCTTGAGAAAATCAAATTTGTGGTTTAATGCAATTGCAAAGGTGGAATTAAAAGTGTTAAGGCGATAATAAGTGATCACAACGTGTTTCGTTTCTCTAAATTAAAGCACTTGAACCGGCAAATCCATCATACACACACTGATATGAGAAAAATAAGTTATTTTAAGAATCTGTGGTGAAATTATCAGAAAATTAATTTTAGTTAAACCACGCAGCTGATTAGCCGTACAAAAACAAGTTTGTTATCGGTATAGCGACAAATAATAGTAAACAATAAACGTAACACAATTTGTAAGATGAACCACAGGTAGTATAGTAAAAAATTGCAAATTACGGTTAGAAACTTTATTATAAAATTATGTGCGGAGAATGTATTTAAAACTATTCCGTTATTTTGCAATTTGTGCCCAAGATACGTGACAAACAGTCTAATGCTCGGTCTAATGTAAGAAATAAAATGCAAAGCGTCAGTTTTAAAGCACGTATTAAACTGCAAATTTAATTAAAGTCGCCGTTCGATTAATAATTTTAAGGACGCTCTTAAACAAACTTAAATAAGCTTTTGGGATAAAGTCAAAGACCTTAGCAAAGAAAAGGTTGCACACCGATGTCATAAAACCTTCGTCTTTATTTAAGCTTTTCATGTTCTCGAAAAGTAGATTTAAGTATGTTTTACGTAAATTGCTAAGTTATGGTTTCTAAAAATATTTACCTAGAACTGGTTTGAGATGTACAAAAGGGATGAAGGCTGTCTTTTCGCCTTCCATTCGACAACGACGCCGCGCCGTTATAATAAAAATGTGAGATGGGCGTAGTGCTTACGAAATTCTTGATAACTGTAACTCGGTTTTATTTGATTATGCATATACAAAGAGGGCATTTACGGCTTGTTGCACGAGTTGATAGCCTAAATGGCACAAATCGGCGCGTGTCGTTGTTGACGACGTTAAATTTACGGTAAATATTGAGGAATGACTTAAATGAGTTAGTGGGTGATGGAATCGGAAAACTAGATGGTTCTGGAATAATCAATGGCCGAGTAGATTACTGTGGCAACATACTGGAAATAATCAACTTAAATTTTATTGACGTATTTTTCAAGCTAAAGGGGAATGACGTAAAAAGATTCAATTTATGTGCGTTAAAAAGCACGTAAACAATTTTCAAGTAAAAATTCAGTTAGGGCACACACAAAATATTTGCACGTGTAGTAGAATAGCATATTTCAGTAATGGTGTGTGCGCATCGTATATTAAATTGTGGGTAAAAAAGCAAAATGTTTACAGTTTTTATACGTACCTCACAACAAAAGGTTTTCAGAATTTTAATTACGGTCGACAGCAGCGCCACGTGCACGAAAATAAATCAAACGATCCACCTTCGTCCAATTTCTAATGGACATCACTTAACAGTAACGAGTTCGAGAAATTTTTGCAATTAGTTAATATTTGGTTATGATTATACAAAAAGGCGCTTTCGCCTACCATCAGCAACTCGTCAATTTAGAATATTGTGCTCTTAATTGATTATCCAAATTTAAAGAATTTGTTTTGAAAGTATTGAACAGTTTATTTATGATAATGAAATCTGTTGCATTTATTAAAGGTGACTTAAATTACATTCAAGGCTATTGCATCATCGACCGTGATACTTAGCAACAGCTCATGATGCTAATAAATTGAAAATCAAATTATTGCCTACACTTTTTTTGGGGGGAATTGTACAATAGCCAAAGAAGCAAGGTGGTCGTTGCTACACAACTCGTAATTAAAAATAACGCTCTCAATGCCAATTTGTTTTAATAAATTATAAAATCCTTGGCTGTTCGTCCCATGTCCAGGAAGCAATTACAATGAAAAATTGCCGAATTCGTTGCCTCAATTTGATTGTTTGTGAAAGTTGCAGTGTTGAGACACCGTTCGCTGTTACTTGGTACAATAATGTAAAAAAGTCAAACAAATTTGGTATCCGAAGTATTACGGTACCTGGTTTTCGCGTAAGCTTGGGCGAATAATTAAGATTCCACGCTATCTAACACATGTCAACTGTGGCCAAAACGTGTATGTTCAAAAACCATATGCTCCGCACGGTGGCGGTTATAATAAATTAACATAGCGATTTAAAGAGTCACATTTAATCAATGGTCATCATAAAATTAGAAATCACAACGTATTTTACACATTCGCGCGTAAATATAGGTCGCACATTGATCCTGTGTTAAGAAAATTATGCAATGTTCAAAGACGCGTCTTTAATAAACGAATAGAAATTTGTGTAAAGTAAATTTAATGGTAGAGGTAAATTACTGGCACACACTTATTCACCGAACCGTAATCTGCAAACACAGAGGGGAAATTTTGAAAGAATATTCCTTTTGGAGGGTCGGCTAGTTAATATTTGTAACAAGGGTGCGTATAAGAAACGTTAAGCAGGGATCTTAATCCACTAAACTGGCTGTCGCCCACCGAGTTACTCGATAAGACAATCAAAACAGAGAGCAACTTCCGTTTTTAACTTTTGAGTTTATTCAGGTTAAACGCTCGTGCGATTTTCGAACGCAAATTTAGCGACACCTGCAACTTCTTTTTTTTGTTATTGGCATATTTAAAAGTTGTGTAACAAGGTGCGAAACGTTGCAATATAGGTATTTCAAGTTCCGTTAAAAGAAAAACACAAAAGCAATTCAGAAATCAGTTTTCAAGTAGAATGTAAACGACCTTGTTATCTCTAATCAACAAATCGAATCGAGTTTCACACACAAAGGATACGTATTTGCTTACGTAAGAAATGAATAGTTGACTTTATTACCGTGCCAAATATTGAGGTGTAGGTATTTATTCGGGAGAATATTGAAATTATGTACATTCAATTAAATTAATTTAAAGAAATTATAATGTAATTTTAAATTCCATAATAACGTCCTACAAGTTACCAGCGAAGGAGATTAACGAGAAAGCTCAAAAGCCAATAAAGCTATTCGCAACGCGTCACAAAAAAAAGCTCGGTCTAATCGCCCATCGAAAACAAGCAGAAAATAAAGAAGGGTTGGAGATCGTCCACGGTTAATAATAATTAATAATTTACCTTGCTGCTTCGAATAATATCCTTGATTCAATTTGTAATCGATCATCCAATCTCCACAAATAAAATCAACAAAGTTTAATTGTTTGATAACTAACACTTATTGTGACACCCTTCAACAGATGTTCGTTTGCCTTTTAAATATTGTAAACACTTATTAAATTTAATCGGAACGTTTCACAAAAACTAACACTCCTCATTAGATATACAACTTTCTTTTTTATTCGTATGTGTGGATATTAATAACAATTAATTTATAATCCTCAAACTTCCGATAAGCGCTGATAGCACAGATCCTAATAAAAAATAAACAAACAAAAAGGTTACAGTTGCCACAAATTAGTTTTTTATTTTAAAATCACTTAGCACTAATAGTGTTAGATAGTAACACAAATAGAGCGCATTCACACATGCATATAGGAAGATAGAAATTGGTTGCTGCCAGTCCCAGCGAAAACTTGCGTATAACTGCTTATGCGCCGCTCTCTACTCTGCTCTGAGCTTTGAAGCTTTATGGAATGTAGTTTAGATAGCAGGTTGCCTTCAAATACGTTTACAAGTCCCTCAAAAGTTTGTTGATATCAATATTGGTTTCCGGTTGACGACGTGAGGCGGATGTCAGTTTTGAGTTTACCTCCAGTCCGCACGTGGACATTTCTTTAGATACATTCTACTCGAAGTCAATCCTTTACTCCGTTTCAACAGTATTAAATGAGAAACTCTACATTTGAGACAGATTTTTGTGAAGATTAGTACGTTTTGCGGAAAATTTATTTGTACCTACTTGCACTTTACAATTTACTCCCCTTCTGCCTTTGTTTATTGTACCTATTTAATACCCAATTTCTTAATGCATAATAAACCTCGCTTTCGTTTACTCATTAACCGTCACTTTTTCAACACAATAAACGCAACAATCATAATCAGTAAGTACATTCTATAAATAGATAATCCTTTTAAATATGCCGTGAGACAAAAAAGTGTGTCGTGTTTTTACACTGACCAACTTTTTATATCCTAATCAGAAATTTACATAAATACATTACATTTACATTTTTCCAGTTTAGAAACCGAAATTCAACTTAAAGATCTTCGATCGTAATTAAAACAATCGGATTCGGGCGAACTTGAAAAACGCTAAAATTTCCCAACCATTCAACAAGTCATATACATTACCGCAGCTCATTAAAGACGACTTTAAGTGATGTCTTTCTGTCGTACTTTCGGGAGGAAGGAAGGGGTCAAAAGACTACGAATCCGTTTTAAAATACAAGCTTCCGTCTAAATGATTTTAATATGCTAAACGCCGCACATGAACAGCTATTTCACAAAATGTTTTATTATATTGCGTTCACTTAAATTTTCAACACCTTTGACCCGCAAAATTCCAACGGTGTTTTTTTAATTTCCAAACCGAGGTTTTCACAGTTAACCTAAAAACAATAAAATTACGGTCCGACTAATGAATAATAACCTACAAATAAGTAGATTAGATAATTTAAAGTCAACAGAAAATTTGTTTTTATATATCACAGTCAATCGCATTGTGTTCGGAATTTCGTTGCATGAATAACTGACACAGTTCTGTGTGTAGGTATTTTATCGCTACTTAAATACACGTTTATTCAGTTCGAAAGTGTTTAAACTTGTTATTATCTTCGAGAAATATGCATATTATTGAATCAAATCCAGATAAGCCGATTTAAAGCAAAGCAGTGGAGCTTCGGAAGTCGAAAAAATGCACGTCAAAAAGTTGGAGGTACAACAATGAAATCATTTTCTGTGTTGACGCTTTATTTTAATTTGGTAAATTTTGAGAAAACAAACTAAGTTTAGTAATCCTCAAAGTATGACGTTTGAAAACATGTTATGTAACGTAATTTGTGGAATTATTCTTTATGGTTGTCACGATCATTATGTAGAATTCTCAAAATTGTGTTTGACTGCGAGTGTGGATATGTCTAAAGTTAATTCAATCAGAGAAGCAGAGTAAAGAAGGTACCATTAGGATCACCATCAGAATGACCAATAGCATTGATTTGAAACAGTACATAAGTCATATCTTATATCTCCACAAAAACACTAGCTATCAAAATAGATGACATCCCGTTATATGTCAATTAAACTGACTTATATGCCACATGAGTAACTAGATTTAACAGAAAATGTAATTATGTATCTTATTTTCGCAATGACTTTTTAAAATTTTTGTTTTACAAATAACCACTCATTTTACCCAAATTAACAACAACAAAAAATTTACTGGGTTTGTAAACACACGTGACAAATTTTCTTTAAAACAATTACAATAAATTTAAATATAAAATGAAACTCTAACCTTCTCAAAATTACATACCTACCTACTACTAACTTAAATATGCCCTGGAACGAATTTAGTGTTCATCAAACAACACAGACCAAAATAAAAAAAGAATGTCGCTTACTTACACTTGCACTAGTTCTTTCACGGCATTCAATCGTAATCCCCTACGTTTCATGCTCGAAAAAAATGCAAAAACATAAAGGAACTGGACTGAGAAAGAGTAATTTGCAAGTCGACGTGCTACATCTCAACACTATGGCAATCGCCCATAAATTGTATGTTTCGCTGAATGCAACTCGTTGCTGAAATTACAGCTAATACAGCTAAATCGGGGTTCTTTTGTTTTTGGATTTGTATAAATCTGTTGACCACTATAATTTTTTCTGGGGATGCCCAAAGTTTGGAAATATTTGTTTTCACTAAGTCAATCTTTTCTTCTTCGACAATTTAAACTGCTATTTGAAGTTCATTGATTTCTAAATCTTATTTTTATATCCGCCAAGGTGGCATGCAGTGTTTGATAAAAATTGCCCAAACAATAATAGGTATCAACTATTAATTTTTCCTCTAGCAATTAGCACCGCACTTTACATACTAAACCTACACTTAATACCGCGAGCACATTGGCGGACGTTTTTCATTGTCTATTGGCTTGGCAGCATATACTTGTTATATAATGTTTACTAATGATCTCTCAAACTCTATCGTTATCTTCCTTGTGGTACACCACACTTCTCATGCCTTGTTTCTGATTTTACTGTATCAATGACAACATATTGCTATCTATCAGAGAGAGAGGTTCTTTAAATCGCTGATTGAGTTTCCTGGAGCCTTCACCGAGCATATCAAGTGCCAGGTTCTTTACAAAACATTGCAGTTAGTCCGTTTCTAAGAGCATTCTTGGGCCTTTCCAGAGCGTATAAAGCTCTCGAAAAGCATAGGAATGCAGATCGCATAAGTTTCACACTGAGCTAGTCAAAGTTGTACCACGAAAGTTTATCAATAAGAAGATCGTGAGATCCACAATCGAATGATTTTTGTAGATCAAGGAAAGTATTAACAGTACATTCTTTATTTTCAAAGCTACATATAATTCATGCACAAAAGCCAGTACAGCATAAATCGTGGAAAGGCCTTTCCTGAAACCGTATTGTTTGCTTTAAAATAAATATTCTTGTTGTCTCACTTTAGAAATATGTGCAAGCCAGAATATTACGGTAAGCTCATTTGCACAATTCATCTCCCGCAATTCCCATATTCATTATTACTACAATACCTGAAAATTTTTAACGTCAAAATAGAAAACGTCAGCGCAGTCGTACATACCTTAATGGGACTCGACTCGTGCTATTTATTAATATGAGACATTTTGAAGTGAGCTCTGGAAATTTAGATATATCAGCATAGAGTACTTACATATCAAAGATAGATGGGGATTTTTGTACTTTATCTGCATCCATTTTCTTGATATCTTTGAAGCAAATTTAATTCACACGTTTAATAAAGTTTGTTCATTGCAAGGATTCATTCATTTTTCGTAACTTTGGAAACTACCTCGGCCTACGGCTTATAAAAATCAAATATACACTCATTGTGTCTCATCTATAATCCATATTCATCAGATTTTCTTTACATATAACAACCATAAGCGGAGGCGCGAAAAATGGTATAAGCAACACGGAATGTAGTTTATATTAACCTTCTTGGAAGAACAATATTCCGAGGCGATTTCTTCAAAGCTTAATGCACTAGTTACATTCCTTGCAGCTTAAATAACTATTAGACGCCTAGTTCTGAAAAAAGTCTATGAGACCTCTTAAAAAACGTTAAAAGCTCTAGAAAGTACCTGGAATTCCCAAAACCAGGGAAATCTAAAGTATCTATAGGTTTATTTCTTCAGATATGTTCTAGGACTTTCAAGTTACATCCAATCTAGGAAATGGTCTATGAGGCGATAGACGGTTCTAGAAATCACTTAAGTGACTCTTAGAAAGCTTTGAAATAATATAAACACTTAAAAAACAATAGAAAGTGCTGTAGCACTTTTGGGGCGTCGCGGAGGCTTCTTATGAACACTAAAAGACAATCTGAGGCTTTTTGTAACCTTCCAGGCGATTTCCAGAGCACTATACCGCTTTTTCCGAGCATTTGATCGTTTCACTAAAGTTTTTCCTGTCCACGTATGATTTTTCCAGATCCATTTAGAAAGCTTTCTACAATCTTACCACAACTTCTACTGCAACATCAATCCCTTTTCCGAACTCATTAGAATCTTTACTTTTGAAAGAATTTTCGGAAGCAACGTAGAAAGTCTTCCGCCATCTTTTAAACGCGTTTCAGCGTGCACTTTGGAGTATTAAAATTCTTGTAAGCGTCTTATAGTACTTTTTAAAGCTTTCTAGAGATTTCTTTTCTACCACACTTTTTGTAGCGTGGAAGGTCAGTTCTGACACTTATACATTGTATATGCGTATTATATAACTTTATAACCCTCTCAACCATAGCACTTAAAGTCGTTGCCAAAGTTCGCTTAATGGGTCCTAAAGACGCCCTTTCTAGCACTTTAGCAGTCATAATCATCATCATATGGGAACGGTTTTGAGTCCGTTTGTTCAAACTTTTTAATTAATTTATTTTCGGGATGTAATACATCAGTCACATTAGCTATAGTAATCCTATATTTTCCAATGTAATGTGTACATTTATTTTTGATTTTTATGTTTAAAAAAATGTGTTGTCCAAGTATCGTCTGTGGTGAATGTGTGTCCGTGCTAATAAGCCAGAATAACCAGAATTTATTAGTTTCTTGCTTCTTTTCATTCCTCGTACCAATATTTTTGCCAATGTGAGGTTTACACAAAGGCCAGGGGACGTCTAAGAAATGAAAAAATTACACGAGAGGAAGTAAGGAAGGTTCGCCCTCAAAATCCTGGAGTTTGTTAGAGATAAGGCATTCTGGAAGTGTAGACAATACCGAGGAGCACACTAGACCAAAAGGTCGCGATGCAGGAACCACTCCCTAGAACAAAAATAATAATAATACCAATATTTTATACACATGACAAATATAACATTTTTAGGTAGCATCTTACCTCCTTAATGACAGATATTTTTAATAACCAAACTGCTATGAAAATTTCAATAATCGTTACAACTTCTATTCGATTACAAATTTCGTCATGGATAAAATATAAAACCAGATTAATTTTATGATTCGTTGTGTTGCGACATTCCACGAAAATGCAGTTATAATAATATCAATGTTTGAGTGCAATTTACTTGTTATCATTATGACTACATTATAAAATAATTAAACGTCGATTTTGCAATAGTGCCTGTACAATAAAATTTACCTTAATTCGCTCCCATGTCAAGTGGTTCCCACTCGGTCATCTCACGTTTTGTTGAAATTACTACAAAATCTATATATATATATCAAGTGACATTGCAATTGCAACACCAAAAAAGTGTTTGTGTTTTTGGTTTGATTAAAATCTAATTCAAGTAGAGTAAGTGGTATTGGCTTATCTGTTATTGCTTTTGTTTTGACCAATGTCATTTCTAGCTGGATTTCGTGCGAGTTTTGTTTGTTTACTTGGTTTTTTAGAACTGTCTTTTGATCTCATTTGCAACTGGGAAACCACTTTCCTAGCAAAACCCCGCTTGTTCGTCATATATACAGTAGTATAGGTACCATATATAGCTTAATAATCGTCGGGCAAGTTTGTTAAAAAAATTCCAACCCCTTCTAGATGTTACAATTTTCATGTCACTATAGTAAGTAGATTAAATTTCATGGGCACGCTAATATTAGGACTTACCTTTTATAGTAGTGCTCCATTCTAGAATAAATTTCGACTTCCATACGGATGTCACTAGGCAAAAATGTCACACTTTTGTATCTCAAAAAGTTTGGTTTACTTCGCAAAGAAAGAAAGAGAATCACGACTTGGCGGTAGACACGTGTAGGCCGGTACTTCGTGTATTTGTTTTCAAATCTACCGTACAAAACGTGAACTTGATAAGGAAATGGATATATAGTAAATAAACGTGTAGCCTATCCAAAAGTTAGTAGATTTATGTCAAAACAACTCACTTTACTAAAGTGCACGTTTCAAGTAGAAACGTATGGAGAACAAACAACGGCGATATCTAATTATAATTGTTTAAAATGATAATGCACTTAAATTATTTTTGTGAATCAAGGATCAAGTGTTGTTTACTTTATTTCCAAACCTTAAGGAGTATCTTGTTTTCTTTTCTAGAGATTAGGTACATGTGTGCCTCTCACGAGCTTATTTTTAAACAGAATTTTTCATTTTGTCCCATTATTTCATGGTCTATACTTAAATTAGATTAACGTATATTTATTACGAATAACTAATATGAACGTACAGAATGTCAAACTTACATCAATTAATAAAACCTTCATTAAAAAATAATTATATGAAAGCTAGATAATGTACTTTTCCTTATCATCCTAAATATTATAATGGACGGAATACCTCGTAGCAAGGTTATTTTAATTTGCTTAATTCGTACTAACGCAGCAAAGGTCAATTTTTCCTCAAGAAGATGTTTTGACTCTGAAAGGTTAGAAAATAATGGTGCAGTTGTAAAATGTCCCAGAGTTTGAACGATCATTGTTTCAGCTAAGTAAAATGCCACGGCAGATTGCGAATGAGGTTTAAATAAATATATACCTTGTAAACATTGTGACCTTTGTTTAAACGACTTAGCTACTTCTCAAAACACTGGCATTGGTTCATCGTACTTGGCCTTACGTTGTACAATAAAATTATATTTTTAGGGATTTTTGTTATTCCAAAGATTAATACGACATTGGAATAATATTGCTTTGTTTGTGACAAATTCAAACCTTGGGTGGTTCATGTACGTACACAATTAGTTAAATTGTTCAGAATTCCTTGCCTGTAAACCTGGAGACACTACTTACATCACTGTTTTACATCTTTTACATTACCTGGGCTAATCCAAACAACAGTCAAAACACTGAATGTTATAAAAAATGCGTATCTGATTGGAATTAACAACGTTTGCATACCTATGTGCATAATTTGTCCTTTGTTTCTCCCAAAAAGGCAAACACTGCCTGTTTTACATCCTCAACTATTCCCGACTGTAACTGACCTCGAAATACACAAACAAAACAAACGTAACTGTTACATGTTAGTAGGATTCCAAAGGTTGAATGTCTGATAAGTGATAAACTTTTCGGACACCAAAACACATCTGCTCCATGATATTAGTCCTGGCGTGACGAATCTGAGAAACAATGTAATATGTGCATAATAGCGTTTCGCAGGTTAGCAATACAACATTTATATATCTACATTTGGACACCTTCCAATTAATGTTGCAGACAGGTTAATGCAGTTAACTGATTGCATATTAATGTAATTTTTCAGACGTATGCTTATCGATTTTATCTGGCCCGATTGTTAATAAGCCAACCAAACAATAATTTCCATTAGCTATTGTATCTACATTAACAATCTACGCTAATAAGCCAGTTAGTATCGAACTTGTTTACATAATGTTTTTAACCAAATCCCTATTGATCATCTTTAATTAGTAAATAATTAAAAACAGTAACCGCGGTTGCGTAAAAAGATTTCCTTTGTATCAATTATTATTTTCTTATCAGTTATTAACTCAATAGCTGAACAGTGCGATAAGAAAACCGTCATCCTGTAAACACACAGATTTCAAACTCGAAAAAAACAGATTTGACAGGAATAGGTAAATTTTTCCTTCTGTTTCAGGCAATTCTGATATACCCAAATTTCATAAAGGCGCTGCCCAGCTTTTTAGAACGATAATAGTCACGAAACTAATAGTTGGCGTAGGTCAAACATGCGAGTATTTCTCAATGTTAATTAGATTATAAAAGAACAATTTATTTAAAGTTGGATACTAAATTGTTTTTCGCGCATGTTTTTGTAATCCGTTGACATTGTGACGCGCCATTTAAGAATACGTCATTAACCACCTCCACGTCGCATTTTCATTACCTCATAGTGCAAATGGAGCAATTTAAGTAGGCGAGATTGTTCCAGTTTTTTACTAAAATGTGGCAAACGGATGTATACAGGTTATTTTTCATTTTACACAGCACAACTGTTGTTAGTTGTGGATTGTACTATGGAGAATTAGTTTTTGTAACACACAAATACATAGGTTCACTTGGTTTAAAGAAATTTTCTTAAAAAACATTTCTGTCATTTATGTGGATTTTTTTAAATACTGAACATTAAAACCGATAAATTTACAAGCAAGAACAGATAAAGCCTATAGTTGGGTATGACATTTATTGTATTTTTAAAATGTCCATAACTCTTCATAATCACGTGCCAGGGTGCATATTAGACATAATTCGTTCTTTTTTGATACTTTGATGACCCCAAGAGTTTAACGGTTTCCAGTTAATGAGTTTTATCCATTTCGCCAACATTTTGAATTAAATACTTCGAAATTCACCGACCTGATGTATTCCTATTTAGTTTTCAAATCGTTTGCTCATCATAAGCCAATAAGCTAAAATGTGACTTCTGACATGGTTCAACTTATAATATAGTGGGGGCATATTTGTCAGAGTATGGAGAACGATTTCATCAAATAATGATCGAGTCTCATTAAATAAAAACATCAACGATTTATTTGTTTTTCGACTATTTCGTTAAACTAAGTCGACCTAGAGGTGCATGTATTTGTGAAAAACGGATTACATGAATGGGAAATAACTTTTCAAGGACAATCTAAAACTTAAAAACAGTTGTGCTGTCTTAAAATTAAAAATGATCTGTACGCCTATTTGTCACGTTTTAGCAAAACTGGAAGAATCTCTCATGCTCAAATTACCCCGTTAGGCTAATGCCGGCACCATGACGTGATGAAAATGCGATGTGGAAATGGTTAATGACGTTTTCCTTTATCGCGCGCCACAATGTCAACAACAGATTACAAAAACCATATGTGCGAAAAACATTTTAGTATCTAACATTAATTAAATTGCTCTTTTATATAATCTCAAGCACGTTGAGTAAGATGTTTGTTTGACCTACGCCAACTGCTAGGCGTTTTAAATGATAATATTGGCACAGTCGTTTTGTACAAGAATTTAAAATTCCTAAAACTTGGAGTTTTAACATTGAAATTGGTGTAGTTGATTACCGAAATACAAAAAAAAAGCGTATACCACAAAACTGAAATGAATCCAAAGCCTTCGAGTGCCGTCAACTTTGTTTCGGCTCTCGGGCAACAATAAACTTTTGGAATCTATTTTTTAATCATCCTTTGGGCTTTACCTTTTAAGGAAATTATGTGATCGTAATTCTTCGCACGGCAATGGAGTTCTCCTGAACCTAATTCATAAGAAAAATTCGATCGAATCTTGGCTTTTTATCTTAAACCGTTAAATTCTTATCTTAATATTTTACTACTTATCTTAAATCTTAAAGCTTTATTCTTAAATCTTTGACTTGATTTCAAAAATTTTCTTTAGGCGCTCGAATCAGATCGATGGGAAACCCAGCTTTTCTGAAAGATTCGGCCTTGGAGAGTCGATAACATGGGGAAATTATTATATCACGATTATATTTTAGTATGCCATTTAGTAAAATATTTGATTGAGATTGGATAAGTCGGTTTTCGTGCGATTTTAAAACAAAAAGGGTCTTTTTTAGTTTGGTGTAACCGCGTGTTTGTGATTTTTTTCAATGTTATGGACTATTTAGGATACCTACTCCTTGGACGTGTTTTCTCTTCCATTTAAGGAACTAAAGTGTCAGTTGTCCTCCTGGAGGAGTTAAAAGACAGTGAGCGACGAAAAGTGGCACGTACAACGAAATTTCAAACAAAATATAATATGTAATGATTACCTGCAAATATGCATTCTTGCGCTTACATCATATTTTAAAGTTATTATATCGATTTCTATATTTGGATTTGGGAGCAAGTAATTGTCTCATAGCTTCTTCTGTAATTTTTTCTGTATTTTTTTAACGAATATCCTAAAATTAAACTGACATATTATTACACCTACTGGAACAATTTATAGTAACATTACAAGATATCTGGATTCTACAATCAAATAATTTGAACTTTATTCAAATGCTTATAGAGTGTGCATGATTACCGGAGTACAAAAAGTGGCAGATATACTACAGTAATCTCTCGGGTGCAGCCTCGGGATTAAAACACGCACATTTAAGTCCTTCAGTATACAATATTCTATCTCCATCTGAACAGTGACAAGTCGTTTTTCGACTGATATCTTTTGATGTAATCGTGCTGTCGTAATAATGGACGCTGCATTCTTCATTTTTTTGCTGTGACCTGTAACAATTTATTCTTAACTTTAGCTTTTGTTTGAGATCCGCTGGCTTTCTTTAAGTTTCACCAACGCCATCTTGCGCATTTTATTCGTGCCAGAGCACGCAAGTCCCAAATGGCCAAATCGTTAAATTTTCACTCCTTTCCGGAAGAGATTCTCTTTCAATAAGCATGTGAAGCGGATGTGTTGCTAATTCTATGGGTCTAATTGCACAAATTATTTGATAGTGTCTTTAGTGATTGGCCATTTTTCGTCGTGCTCAGTTGTCATTTGCTAACCCTTTTTCTTATCTTGGGGATTTTATAGGAATGTCTGCTGTACGAATTTAGACGTGAGTGAAACGTCGCTGCGTACTATAGTTAGCATCCTCTTGTTATTCCTTGTGATTCGATTGAAATCTACATGTAATTGTTTGTAGGGTTTTTGGTGGAATTTTTAGGTGTCCTCATTATTACGGCGCCAAATTCTACGAGGGTAATTCAAACTTAAGACGACGTTTTGAATTACACACTGGAAAATAGCCGTCTTTAGTTACTTCTACGATTCATCAATTTGAATAAATCTCTGTGAGAGGCTGATGGCTGTAAAATTATCCAATCTCAGTCCTAAAAGCTGTTTGGTAGTGGTGAAAAGAGAATAACTAACCAATGAAAATTAATTAATTAATTATTATTTAATATTATATTAATATATATTATTATTTTATTTATTAATTAAAGACCGCCGCCATACCCATTGTGCCATTGTTGGGCGTTAAAAATTTACTTAGTAATTCAGAGAAGGGTTATTTTGCACTAAAATTGGCATTCGCGTTTTGGT